TCCAGCCGAGCCGGCCAAGTGCTCGCCATCCCCGGGGTGGGTGAACCACCTGGTCCCCGAGCCCGCCACCCGGTGACCCCCCGGGAGTGAGGGATGCCGGCCTGGCCGCCACGGCTCCCCCGGGGAGAGCTGCTCCTCTCAGCAACGAGGCTTCCCAATGCACCCCCCTGTGGGACCCCCGTCCCCGGGGGGGCCCTGGCACCCCCTCCCAACACCCTCTGTGAGAAGAACGGGGCAAAAGACTCCCAAAATGCGTTGTAACCTCCTCGGGGCCCCCCTGACAGGCAGAGGAATCACCTGTCGTAAGGCAAATCTTGATGGGGAACTTTAATTTTAGCAGGTATGAAGCATCAGGACCCAGGGATGTATAAAGGATCTGCATATTCTGGCTACCCTTTCCTAATGCTCTCAGATCCTTATCTGCCAAATGGATCTATGTCACCTCTGGTGAGTTCATCCTCTCCTCACGGAGAAGTTTTGTGTCCTCTCTCACTGCTGAAGTGTGTTGCAGGTATCGTGCAGGCACCTATATGTGCTTTTTTCCTGACGAGTTGCAGCCCGGTTTCTGAAATGCCTGGGTGCTGTTCTGTCCAAGCTGTAAGCGAGGAGGAGTGGGAAGGGGGAAAGATGCTCAGCAGCAAGCGCCTGCTTCTCTCCGAATTTGCTGGAGGAGCTTCTTCTCCGATGTCCCCACCTTCTAGGTTTGCCTTTACACTTCCAGCAATCAAATCCTAATATCTAATGTAAGAATGCCCCTTCCTTTTTCTGGGTCACAGGCTTTGGAGCCGAGCAGCTTCTGATGTTTGTATTCAGGGATACGTCCCACAGCTTAACTTCACTTCGATGTATCTGGTTGTAAAATGGCCAAGCTTTGGCCTGCCTTCGGTTAGGGCTCTGTTGTGAGTGATGACCCAGAAAGTGGGTTTTGTGCTTCTGAAATGGCCATAGAGGTTTTTAGGAAAAGGCTTAATGCTGCTGAAGGACTATTCCTGTCTTCTTCCTATAAAGTTTTTCCCTCTTGGGTCAAATCAGCTTTAGTAATTATGTATATTCTAATATTTCTAAGTTTTGCTGTCTGAATAATTAAACTAAAGGCTTCTCTACAAAAGTTGTCTTTTCCCATCACCATCTCTATCAGAACTTTGAAAAATAATGTCATGAGATTGCAGCGGACAGTCAGTGCTCGTGTCGCTCCTGGGGAGCCGGTATTGCTGCATTCATTTCAGATGTTACTCTGCTTTCACATTTGGTAAATGAGAACAGAACATCATTCGGTTTATTTCAGGTTTAGTTCTTAACCTGTGAAGGGATAAGGTTTAAAAGAATATCTAATGCCCTCCTTAATTTCAACCCTTTGTTCACTAGAGGGGGAGGATATTAAAGTGGTATTATGAAAAATGGATGGATTGTGCGGTGTGAAACCCAAGTTAAAGTGTGATGAAATATTGTTGACTGGAATCACTGCTGTGTCCTCCTGCCCGACCCTGCTGGCCTGGGAGCAGAAGGAGACGGGTCCTTCCAGAGGGACTGTACCCCAGCCCGGCCCTTCTTGGGGGAGCTGATTTCCCCGGCTGCAGACTGTTGTAACTTTGCTGAGGTCAGTGTGCAGGTATTGAGGATCTGTCCCTAAATTTTGAAGTCTTCCTTCAGTTTACAGCAAGAAAAGATGGTGTTTGCAAGGCAGGGCCAATGTATATTGTTGTAATCCAAATAAGCATTTCTTCTGTTGCTTCCCACCTTGTATCCCTTCGTCTAGGTGCGGGGTATCCCCCTCACCCCCGCTAAAATATTAAGCTGCTCCCTTCCTGTTAAATTTTAAATTATATTCAGTTTGTCTTATTTAAACGCATTTAGTTTGCTCCCTGATGTAGAATCTGAGTAAGTTCAGAGTTACATTAGTCTTGCAACTATTTGTTGTAACGGAATATTTCTTTTAATCCTAAACCCTTACTACATGGGCTACAAAGTGCAATAGCCTATTTATTAGCAATTAAGCTAAAAAGTAGACTGTGGTTTGTGAATCGCCTTTCCCCTTGATAACGTAATAAAACCCCAAGAGGATACTGTGGGAGCAACAGACAGGAGTAAACAGACTGCAGAACTCGAAGGGGAGAAAACGAAGTAGCAGAGGAGGAATGATCCCATCCCCTTGAGAGCCACAGAAATCATCCGCGGCCTCAGCCAGCTTTACTTAGGCCTGTTTGGATCCTGCGGTGGTTTATGTCGCGTGACTTAAAAAGCTGATTTGATGTTTTCAGCTAAAAATCTGTTACCTGTCAGACATGGGAAGATTTCTTCCTCAGATAAAGGCTGGTCTTTTGGTTTTTCGGCTTGGTACAGTAGTTATTCCGATACATTGTTCTGGGCAATTTTGTCTTGTATTTATATTGACTGTGCAGAGGTTATCATCGTAAATTATGTATTGCTCTCATACAGATTTATTGGTACTGTGTGTATTGTATAAAATGTGGGCTATAATCTGGTGGCTGCTTCCAATAATTGAGGAGGTCAGATCTGTGACTGAAGATTGCAGATACTTAACCATCCATAAAAGTCTGTTTAATTAACACTTTAGCACAAGTAGAGTCAGGGAGGAGGGTTGTGTGAGTGAATGGGATTACATGTCACAGTCATGCGTGCACTTGGTAGTAGAGATTGTATTTTGGTTAATGAGGCTTCCTGGAAACGGTTGTTTGCAGCTAGGATTAATTTCAGAATCTTCAAAAAATTAAAAAAATTAACCCAGGAGTACTTTGGCAAACTGTCAGGGCTTTACGTTTCCCTGATTGGAAAAATAGAATACAGCTTCCTGAAAGATGAAGGACAGCCGGCACCGAGGCTGCGGGTTGAACCCCCGCCCTGCGACACACCGTAAAACCGCATTTTTTTTTCTGTGGGCTCCCTCCGAACCCCGGCAGGGTGCTGCGAGCGGTGCTGGAGCCGGTCCGGAGCGCCTGCCTGGGTGGGTGTGTTGCTACCGGCATTACCGACATGCTACTTTCCTTTTTTTTTTTTTTTTCTTTCTTATTTTCTCAGCAGCATCACTTTTGCTTTGTTTCCCTCAAGGTGGTTGTAGCCTGCTGTTACATTGCTCACCCCAGCATCCTGCTAGGCTCCCCGCATCTCCCCGGCCAAAATTGTCTCTCTTGACCAAAACGCACCCACTTGTGCTATTTACATGCTCTGATGTCACTCCAGAGTGATGGACTGAACATGTCTGGGTACCTGACATCAGCAGCAACGCCAAGTGCAGCTGATGTCCCCCGCCAGCAGCAGGATGTGGCAAAAGCCCCCCCCTCCTCCCCGCAGCGGGCAGATCCTGGGCGTTGGGCTGGGTGGCCCACCTTCACTGCAGGTGGCAAACAGCGGTTTAGGGTAATTCAGCTGGAGTGATGCTGGTTTGAGCATGCCCAAGTAGCCTGGCCTGGCAGTAGAGCTATCAAAGAGAAAAAGGAGGGCTGGGGGATGGCCAGGGCATGCAGGTGAAAGTGCTCTCGGAGCTGGGGACAAGTCAGTGGGCTTGAGCCCAGGTGTCCCGTGTTTTGGGAGCGTGCTGTGAACCACCATCGACTGGCCGGGCTGGGGAGGGCATGCTTTCGGTCAAGTGCATCTCAGTGCAGGCTGTGCGTGCATCTGAAATCTTGACATTTTGCAAGGCACCAGGAGAACCGTTTCCCATCGGGCTCTCAGGTATCGTTATGCGTGGTGGTTCACGACTCTACCTTCACTCTCCCAACTCTTGCAAAGTCCAGCTTTTCCCAGAGTGGAATATATAGGATTTGCCGGTTAAAAATCTACAAGAAACTTCCAAAGAATATTAACAAGTTGAGGAACTGTTTTTCTAAATGAAATAGAAAAATCATAAAACTGTATCCTTTTTTTAAATAGTACAAATGACTTTAAATCAAATTGAGGTACATCCTTAGTAAGAACATCAGCCTTTTAGGTGGTTACAAACATTAGAGGTCAGACATGGTCAAACATGTTAACACTTTGATCAGATTAAAATATTTTTCTTGCTACAGTTGTATAATTGAGTTTAGACCCGAAGGGGTTTTCTGAACATTGTTATATCTTGTACTATGTCGTAGTTAAATGGTAGAAGGAGCGCTTATAAGTTCCTTTAAGTTCCTTTGGTAAATAAGTTTATAAAATAGGGGGAATGAGCCGTGCCGTCCCGTATGTAGGGCACAAGCTCTGCCCACTCCGGTCGGTGGGAGAGCTCCTGGGGGAACCTTTCACACCTTCTGTGCACCTCTGTTGTGTGTAGTGAGCATGTGAGATGTGTGAAGGTGGAATTAAAATGTTCTGTATCTTATATCTAAAGCCGAGGCACTGGACTTTCTGTCTGTATGAGAAGCAGAGATCCCAGAGCCTCTGTTTCTTTGGAAAACAGATACTACCTCATTCTCTTAATTATTATGTTGTCTAACCAGAGCTCACGTAGGAGCAGAAGGGTGGTGGTACCTTCCCAAGCACTGCATGTTTCAAGTCCCCAAATGAGACGGCAGGCCTAGGAAATAATGCTGATGTTCAGAGCCTGGTCCCTGCAGTCCGTAGGGCTCCTTGAGCTTGGTTCCTGCTCAGAGGGTTTGAAATGTCCCCTTGGGCAGGGCAAGATGAAAGTGCACTTACCGCTGGCCTGAGGCCCCGGGTCCCAAATGTCTAACATGAGCTGAAGAAGCATGGAGCTGACGGTCTCCTGCTGCCCTTCGCCGGACAGAAGCTCGAGAGGCAGCAGGTGAGCCTGGGACACAGCTACTTCTGCTGCAGCCCCCGTCCCCAAGGCTGCTCCATCCCTTCGCGGGAGGAGGCTGTTGTCCCCGCAGCAGTTGGTGGAAGGAGATCTGCAGCTCGGCTGCTCCTCTGTAGAGGTCTTTCTGTCCTAGCTTTCACTGGCAGGGCAATAGTTTAGCATTGCTTTTTCCTGTGTTGACTTCTGATCCTGTTGAAACCAGTGGGAAAACTCCCCGGAGTCGCCATGTGATGGGGATTTATCACTGTGAGAGGGCTGCTGCATCCTACTCCAGATGTTGTGCATGGAGGGAGGGCAGCCGCAAGCGAACAGTAGCTCCGTGCGTTCCCAGCAGTGCCTGCTGCTGTGGGAGAGCAACATCGCCAGCAGCATCCCAGCCAGGTTCCCTGGCAGCAGGGCTTGCACTATGGGACCTCGCCGAGACGGTATTCTGTCCCCATAAATTGTTATATTCCTGGCAGAAAGCGTTAGGAGTGCAGTGGCTGCTGATGGACGTCCTGGCAGACAGACAGATGAGTAATTTGTTCCCTCCTGACCAGAGCGAAGCCACTTCTTCCAGCTCTTCTACCTAGCTTGAAATAGGATAATGGTGAAAATAATTTTTTATATTAAAGCATAATGTTGGATAGGTGGATATACCAAGGCACAGGGCTTCCGAGGTCATTTATTGCATGTCTGATTCAGCCTTGGT